AGTGCAGTCCCCATAGAAATTCCAATGTCATTTTTCACAGAAATAGAAAAATCAATCTTAAAATTCATAAGTGCAAAAGTCTCCAAATAGCCACAGCAATTCTGAGCCAAAAGAGCTATGCTATGCTGGAGGTATAATACCAGCCCTCAACTATACTACAGAGCCATGGTGACAAAAGCAGCATGGCACTGGCATAAAAACAGACACTTAGATCAGCATATTAGAATAGAAAATCAGAAATAAACCCCTACAGCTACAGCCATTCAGTTTTCAACAAAGGTACCAAAAACTTACGTTGTGTTGAAAGACAGCCTCTTCAGCAAATGGTGCTGGGAAAACTGGATATGCATATGTAGAACACTGAAACTAGGGCCCTGTCTCTCATCTTGGACAAAACTCAATTCAAAGCAGATCAAAGTTCTTGAAGATAGAGGAATAGTTAAGGACTTTCTGAATAAGATTCCAGTGCTCAGGAAGTAAGAGCAAGAATTGACAATGGGTTTGTATCAAACTAAAACACTTCTGCACAGCAAAGGAGACAATGACCAGAATGAAGAGACAACCTAAAAAATGGGAGATCTTTGCCAGCTGTTCATCAGATAAAGGATTAATATCAGAATATAAGGGCAATAGACAGTTCTCCAAACAAACAAAAAGGACAGTGTCCGTAAATACATGAAGAAATGCAAGTCCACAGAACACTGATTTTTACCTCACCCCAGTCAGAATGGTAACTGTTAAGAAAATAAAGAGCACCCAGGACTACATTGGATGGGGAAGGAAGGTCATAGGATGACACTCACAGGTGTGCAGGAGGTCTGAGAGAAACCAGGAGAGATGGAGAAGTCCAGAGTGATGTCCCCGGGAAAATATGAGTTGAATAGATTGCCTGCTCTGTGGAGAGTTGGCAGTTCAGAGATAGAGACAAGCAGTACATGCAAATGAAAAACGAGGCAGTAGTCTCCCCTGCCGAACCTTCCGTGAAAACAAAAACAATAGCAGTAAGTTGTTAAAGGAAATATAATCAGAGAATGATAAATTGCTTAGTTGTCAATTACATTTATAGTCATACCAGTGTAAACACTGAATATCTACTTAATCAAATCTTGTGAGATAAACACTGAGCGAAGGAGTAGGAGAGAGAGGGAGAGAGAGAGAGAGAGAGAGTAAAAGGGCTATAGCTTAATCTTGAAATAAAAAGTCAGTAGATAATATGTAAAACTGGAAAATTAAGAAGCTAAAGCACAGTTGTATAACTGAGAAACACAGTGGTCAGGAGAGCGGAAGACCATGCTCTGAGGCGTGGTGCCTGGAGTGGGAGGGAGCGAGAGAGGGAGTGGGGAGGAAGGATGGCAAGGGTGACTATTGTTCATTGGAAGCTAAAGACAAATTGTGCTCTTTGAATTACTGAACTATGTTCATGTTATTTTTGAAAAAAAAAATTGAAGACAGGAAAAACATTTTAAAAGAAAACTAACAAATCCTGGTGAGGATTAAGGAGAAGAAGGAACCTCTTTACCCACTTGTAAATTACTGCAGCTACTATGAAAATCAGTTTGGAAGTTCCATCAGGAAACTGAAAATAGAAGTACCATATGGTTCTGCTATACCACTCCTGGGCACGCATCCAAAGGAATGTCAGTCAGCACTTGATGGAGGCACCCGCACACCCATGTTTATTGCAGCACCGTTCACAGTAGCCAAAGCATGGAAGTGCAAGTGCCCAGAAATACGTGGATAAAGAGGGTGTGGTACATCTACACGATGGAGTAGTATTGAGCCATAAAGAAGAATGAAGCTAGGCGCCAGTGGCTCACGCCATCCTAGCTACTCAGGAGGCAGAGATTAGAAGGATTGTGGTTCGAAGCCAGCTCGGGCAAAGAGACCTTATTCTATGAGACTTTATCTCAAAAAACCCTTCACAAAAATAGGCTGGTATCTCAAAAAAAAAAAAAAAAAAAAAAGAAGAATGAAATTCCACCGTTGTCAGAAAATGGGTGGAACTAGAGATCATTATGTTAAGCAATATAAGCCAGACTGAGAAAGACAAACATCACATGTCATCCTCGTGTGGACTTTAGACTTAAAAAAAAAAATGAAGGGCATGTGTAAAATGGAGACGATTAGCTGGGCACTGGAGGCTCACGCCTGTAATTCTATCTACTGAGGAGGCAGAGATTGGGAGGATCATGGTTTGAAGTTAGTCTGGGCACATAGTTTATGAGACCTTATCTCAAAAAACAACCCTTCATAGAAAAGGGCTGGTGGAGTGGCTAAAGGTGTAGACCCTGAGTTCAAACCCCAGTACCAAAAAAATAAAAAAATCTTCTAAAACAGAGACTGTTGGTTTAGGGGAAACCAGTGGGAGTTAGGGCAGAAGGAGAGGGTAATGGGGTAAATATGATTGAAATATGCATGTATGAAAATAAGAGTGAAGCTCTTAAGTTATTTAAAAAGGGGAGCATAGGAAAGTAATAGACGGGGGTGAGTTCAAAGTACATTTGTATACGTATGAAAATAACACAAGGATTTCCTGCTGTACAATTAATATATGCCAGTTAAAAATTGAATAACGTCTATAATTAGTGTGTTGTGAGTGATGCCAGTGGCTCATGTCTGTAATTCTAGCTCCTTGGGAGGCTTCCCTGGGAAAATAGTTTGAAGCCAGCCTGGGCAACTAAATAGTTCATGAGACCCCTACCTCCAAAATAACCAAAGCAAAATGGACTGGAGGTGTGGCTTAAGTAGCAGAGTACCAGTTTTGTAAGCATGAAGCCCTGAGTTCAAATCCCAGTGCCACCAAAGAAAAAAATCAAATACCCTGTGTTAGAGAGAATATGAAGAAAATGTACTTTTATACACCACTGTTTGGAGTGCATGTATATCTATACCAGTGTAGGGCATTTAAATAATACCTCTCAATTCCCTGTGTAAAGTAAGTTCTCTACAAGGCTGTTCATTGACTTGTTTATGGTAGCAAACTGTGAGAGCCCACATCTGAACAGGAAGGAGCTGGGTGAGTCGTGTAATGTGGTAGCACAGTAGGCAGTAGCAAAGGAGTGGTGATGTCCTGCTCCTGCAGTCTCAGAGTCAGATTGGTAAGTGTAAATAGCAAGGCACAGTGTGCTCAGCTTCCTGGGAAAAGAAGGAAGGAGGCGCTGGGCTGTAGCTCTGTGGTAGAGCACTTGCCTAGTGTGACAAAGGCCCCTGGTTGAACCCTAACACCACGTAGACACAAAAAGAAAAATAGAATATTTTCATTCTGTTTGTACATGCTTAAAGAAACTTGAGGCGTGTACATAAGAAACGTAAGGACTGGGGCAGTGACTGACTATACTTGCAGAGGTGTAGAAGGGCTAGGTGGGAAGTAGGGAGATGGAGGTAGCAGGGGACACCTGGATGGGAAGGGACAACTTTTGAGAATGTTTTTCACTGTGGACCTTTTTATATTATCTGGCTTCTCCTGTTTACCATGTTAACGTGTTAACTATTAAACCAAATTTTAAAATTTAAAAGTTACATGGTCATTCACTCTGTTGTACTTTTTTTTAAGAAATAGGGTCTCGCTATATGGCCCAGGTTGGCGGCAAACTCAGGATCCTCCTGATTCAACTGCCCAAGTGCTGGGATTACAGGTGTGCACCACCATGCTTCATTCTCTTAGACTTCACAAGAAGTTACAAGCTAATGCAGAGAGGTTCCATATACCCATCACTCAGCTTTCCCCATATCATATTATCTTATTAATTACTGTACTACATTATCAACTGGCATAATACAGTTAGCTAAACTGCAGATTTTACTTGGATTTCAAGTAAAATCTTTTTGTATGCATTCCTTTTTACATCTTTATAGTTCTGTGACATGTCATCACATGTGTAGATTTGTATGACTATCAGCACAATCAAGATACAGAGAGAGGGCTGGGCATGTAGTTCAGTGGTTAAATGTTTCCTAGCATGTACAAGGCCCTGGGTTCAATTCCCCAGCTCTGTTAAGAAAAAAAAAAAGCAGAAAGAGGGAGCTGCCATTGACACATAGTAACTCTGTCACTGATAAATGAAAAATCAACATAATACCATGATAACCACTTAACAAGACTAATTAAAAATGCTAAAAACAATAAGGTATGGAGCAAGCTTTCTTTCACTCCTGTTACTAGTGAACCTAACTGGGCCTAATGGGGGCGATGATAAATGTAGAAAGGACACAGGACAGACGGACAGACAGAAAGTTGGGGCCAGGTGTGTTGGGTGCTCGGGTGGAGATGCACAACAGCCTCATTGCTTCTTATCTCTATTAATCTCTTCTCTTTAATCTGCTTCTTTTCTCTGTCTTTCTTTAAGGCCTTACTCCTTTACAATTCTTTAAAACCTTGCTTCTAAAATTCTTCTTTTCTGTTCTTTGAAGTCTCTTTCCTTAGACTCACTCTGTCCCATGTTTTCTCTTAGCATTTCTTTAGCTTAGCTTTTCTAAACCCTTTGTATAAAGTTCTTGGTGCAGACTTGCACTATCCCATGTTCTCTCTTTAGCTTTCTTAAAGTCTTGGCCCTTAGACTTGCAGAGAAACAACAGCGGCAGTCCCCTTGCAAGCTGCCAACCAATTCTATTAACCCCTCGTTAACAATTCCCCTTTAGCAGTTCTCCTTCAGCAGTTCTTTTCCCTCTAGCAATCCCCCTCCAGCAATTTCCCTTCAGCCAAAATACCCCCAATCAAAAAGCCTCCCCCATCCAAAAGCCTCCTTCAGCGAGTCTTTTATATACAGTGGTAAACAAGGAGGTGGAGCAACGGTTCTCCCAGAGTGGCATGACATTGTAACAGGAGAAACCTGCATCCTGCTTTCTCTGAATGTAAACAACTTAGGAAAAGCAGCTGAGCTTCATCTCTCCTTCTCTCTTCTGCAGCTGGGGCTGTGTCATATCTCAGCCTACAGATTATTTGACATAAACATCTTAGGAAAAGCAGTTATTCTGCATCTTATTTTTGCTCTATTCTGCAGCTGGGGCTGTGCTGAACTCATCCTGCAGTACACTGAGTACAGCTGTGCTTAGTCCTCCTAGGCTTCTCCTACTCCACTCCCCACAAAGGTATGTTTCTACTTTTTCTTTTTTTTGTGTGCTGTCCAGGTTAGACCCAGGTCCTCACACAAGCTAGGCAAGTGTTCTGCCCCTGAGCCACATCTCAGCCTTTTTTCTTTTTCAGTTTTTTGAGACAGGGTATGTCATCCAGGCTGGGCTAGAACTCACCAGATCCTCTTGCCTCAGCCTCTGGAGTTCTAGGATTACAGGAATATGCCACCACACCCAGCTGGGGGTCTCTTCTGTAGGAGGTCTTGAGTCAAATTGGCAGTAATAATGTGTGACTTGCTTATGTTCCTTTATCTTCTTCTTTTGTGTTTCTGCATGTTCTGATGATTTTACACTGAACACGGATATCATTTTCACTTCTCTTTCAACCATTGTTTTTAGGAATGAAAAAAAATCTGTATCCTTCTTGAAATTTGGCAAAGTTGATGACAGCTTTTGCTGTTAACCTTTTATTACTCCAAATTTCATACTGCCATCACATTCTGTAAAGTGTGATAGGAGACTGTTGGGAATTTTCAGTGTATAGGAAACGTATCAGCTCTTTGTCCACTTGGTTTTTTTCAAGTGAGACAAGCATTCTTATACTATGCCGTTTTCCCAACAGTTTCTTTTAGATCAGTTTAAACTATTTAATACTTAATTTATATTTTCAAACATGTACAAACAACACATCCTTTAATATGTTTTTAAAATCTTAAATTACCTTTAATTAAAACTGCATGGAACTTGTCTTTTAATGACATTATGAATATATATGTGTAACAACTCATTTGTACAAACTTTATTATAAAAGTTTTGATTCTGTATGACCACGGGCCACTTACTTAAGCTCACTGACTCAGTTTTCCCTCCTGTGCATTGAAGATAACTGTTCTGTAGAATTACTTTGGGGAATTATTTTCTAAAATTTATTTTTCTACATCTTGTACTAGTGTTTATTAATTGTACAAAATAGTGGGCCTCACTGTGACATTCCCATGCATGCATACAATGTACTTGTTGCCCTCCCCTCACACTTCCTGTCACTCCATCCCTTCCCTTCCCTACTTTCTCCCTTCTACTTTCATGTCTTTGTTTTCTGGTGGAGAATTACTTACTAAATGACTGTTAGGATGGTGCCAATCATACAGCTGTTCCATTTTCATTAGAATGTGATCAGCTATTTATGTAAGTATAGTGATGTTCTAATGGTGCTATTGTATTCACAGGTGCTTTTTCTTTTTTCTTTTTTTCTTTTTTGTAGCATTGGAATTCAAACCCAGGGCCTCCTGCTTGCAGGGCAAGCCCTCTACCCTGAGCTATATCCCCAGCCCCAGATTGCTTCCTTTTGTTTTGTTTTGTTTTCATTTTTTACTCATTCATATTAATTGTACAGGGTGAGGGATTTCCTTGTGATAGTTACATGCATGCAGATAATGGCCATTGTTCATATTTTCCTTCTCTATACTTTTTCTTACCCTCCTTCCCTCAATCCTCCTCCTTCCCCCCCAATTTTAAACTTACTTACTTTTTTTTTTTTTTTTTTTTTTTGGTGGTACTGGGGTTTGAACCCAGGGCTTCGCACTTGCCAGGCAGGTGCACTACTGCTGCAGTGATGCCTCCAGCACTCTTACAGAATTTCATGTGGGTTTCATTATGACTTTTTCATATGTACATACAATGTACTTCAACCATATATTCTCCCTCCCACCTCCTGCTGGTTGTCCCCAAATACTCCACCATTTATGTTGATGGTCTTTTTTAAAGATCTAGATTCTGCATATGAGAGAAAATGTGATGTTTGTCTTTCTCATTCTGGTTTCTTTTTTCTTTTTTTTTTTTCATTTTTCTTTTATTATTCATATGTGCATACAAGGCTTGGTTCATTTCTCCCCCCTGCCCCCACCCCCTCCCTTACCACCCACTCCCCCCCTCCCCCCCCAATACCCAGCAGAAACTATCTTGCCCTTATTTCTAATTTTGTTGTAGAGAGAGTATAAGCAATAATAGGAAGGAACAAGGGTTTCTGCTGGTTGAGATAAGGATAGCTATACAGGGCATTGACTCACATTGATTTCCTGTGCGTGGGTGTTACCTTCTAGGTTAATTCTTTTTAATCTAACCTTTTCTCTAGTACCTGGTCCCCTTTTCCTATTGGCCTCAGTTGCTTTAAGGTATCTGCTTTAGTTTCTCTGCATTAAGGGCAACAAATGCTAGCTAGTTTTTTAGGTGTCTTACCTATCCTCACCCCTCCTTGTGTGCTCTCGCTTTTATCATGTGCTCATAGTCCAATCCCTTGTTGTGTTTGCCCTTGATCTAATGTCCACATATGAGGGAGAACATACGATTTTTGGTCTTTTGGGCCAGGCTAACCTCACTCAGAATGATGTTCTCCAATTCCATCCATTTACCAGCGAATGATAACATTTCGTTCTTCTTCATGGCTGCATAAAATTCCATTGTGTATAGATACCACATTTTCTTAATCCATTCGTCAGTGGTGGGGCATCTTGGCTGTTTCCATAACTTGGCTATTGTGAATAGTGCCGCAATAAACATGGTGTGCAGGTGCCTCTGGAGTAACAGTCTTTTGGGTATATCCCAAGAGTGGTATTGCTGGATCATATGGTAGATCAATGTCCAGCTTTTTAAGTAGCCTCCAATTTTTTTTTTCCAGAGCGGTTGTACTAGTTTACATTCCCACCAGCAGTGTAAGAGGGTTCCTTTTTCCCCGCATCCTCGCCAACACCTGTTGTTGGTGGTGTTGCTGATGATGGCTATTCTAACAGGGGTGAGGTGGAATCTTAGTGTGGTTTTAATTTGCATTTCCTTTATTGCTAGAGATGGTGAGCATTTTTTCATGTGTTTTTTGGCCATTTGAATTTCTTCTTTTGAGAAAGTTCTGTTTAGTTCACTGCCCATTTCTTTATTGGTTCATTAGTTTTGGGAGAATTTAGTTTTTTAAGTTCCCTATATATTCTGGTTATCAGTCCTTTGTCTGATGTATAGTTGGCAAATATTTTCTCCCACTCTGTGGTGTTCTCTTCTTCAGTTTAGAGACCATTTCTTTTGATGAACAGAAGCTTTTTAGTTTTATGAGGTCCCATTTATCTATGCTATCTCTTAGTTGCTGTGCTGCTGGGGTTTCATTGAGAAAGTTCTTACCTATACCTACTAACTCCAGAGTATTTCCTACTCTTTCTTGTATCAACTTAAGAGTTTGGGGTCTGATATTAAGATCCTTGATCCATTTTGAGTTAATCTTGGTATAGGGTGATATACATGGATCTAGTTTCAGTTTTTTGCAGACTGCTAACCAGTTTTCCCAGCAGTTTTTGTTGAAGAGGCTGCTATTTCTCCATCGTATATTTTTAGCTCCTTTGTCAAAGACAAGTTGGTTATAGTTGTGTGGCTTCATATCTGGGTCCTCTATTCTGTTCCACTGGTCTTCATGTCTGTTTTTGTGCCAGTACCATGCTGTTTTTATTGTTATTGCTTTGTAATATAGTTTGAAGTCAGGTATTGTGATACCTCCTGCATTGTTCTTTTGACTGAGTATTGCCTTGGCTATTCGTGGCCTCTTGTGTTTCCATATAAATTTAACAGTTTATTTTTCAATCTCTTTAATGAATGTCATTGGAATTTTGATGGGAATTGCATTAAACATGTAGATTACTTTGGGAGTATAGACATTTTTACTATGTTGATTCTACCAATCCATGAGCATGGGAGATCTCTCCACTTTCTATAGTCTTCCTCAATCTCTTTCTTCAGAAGTGTATAGTTTTCCTTGTAGAGGTCTTTCACATCTTTTGTTAGGTTTACACCTAGGTATTTGATTTTTTTTTGAGGCTATTGTAAATGGAATTGTTTTCATACATTCTTTTTCAGTTTGCTCATTGTTAGTGTATAGAAATGCTAATGATTTTTTCTATGTTGATTTTATATCCTGCTACCTTGCTATAGCTATTGATGATGTCTAGAAGCTTCTGAGTAGAGTTTTTTTGGGTCTTTAAGGTATAGGATCATGTCGTCTGCAAATAGGGATATTTTGACAGTTTCTTTACCTATTGTATTCCTTTATTTTCCTTCTTCTTGGCCCTAATTGCTCTGGCTAAGGAATTTCCTCATTCCTGGTTTATTTCACTTGAGTCATCAGTGCATCCATTTTTTCTGCAAAATGACATAAAGTTCATTCTTTTTTATGCAAGACTAATGTTCCACTATGTATGTACCGATATTTCTTTATTCCATTGTCCTGCTGGTGGGAACCTGGCTGAATCATAGCTTGGTTATTGTAATACTGCTTCAATGAACCTGGGTGTTTCCATGTGGTTCCTCCTGACGTACGCTTTCTTTGGGTATATGCCCAGAACAGTATAGCAGGGTCATGTGCCCAAGCCCTAAAGTTTTCATTTTTTGAGGAGCCTCCATACTACTTTAGTGGTTGAGAGTTCCTCCTCACCACCCCGTCCTTCATCCTCCCTGGCATTTGGTTGCTGTTTTATTGATGGCAAGTCATTCTGATTGAGGTGAGATGGATCTCAGTGTCATTTTGATCTGTATTCCTTAATGATAAAAGATACTGAGCAATTCTTCCATTTGTCTTTTTGGCCATAATGTATTCTTCTTCTGAAAACCTTGCCTGTTTTTTTGTCTACTTATTAATTGGATTATTTCTGCTTTTGCTAATTTTTCAATGTTTTTTAATAATATTCCTGGATATCAATTCTTTTTTCAGATGACACTTGGCAAAGATTTTCCTCCCACTGTGTAGGCTGCCTCTTTACTTGATCCCTTTGGCTGTGTAAAAACTACTTAATCGGTGCAGTCCCCATTTGTCAGTTCTTGCTCTTTTCCTTTGAGCTGCGGAATCCTACTCCAAGTGGTCTTGAATTGCTCCTTTTTGATTGCTGCAATTTTGTCCTTCTTGGATCCTTGGGCAAGTTGAACATTTCCATGCTTGTGGCCTTTTTTCAGTGTAAGTTTATATCAACACATCAAATACTGTTTTAAAAACTTAGCTAGCTTGTTGTGATGATCAAGTAGGGTAAAATCCTAACATTGCGTTAGGACAGCTATGCTGAGTGGCAAATGCGACATATGTGAACTGGATGATCTGATCTGTGTGTTACTGTCAATCAGTCAAGAGGAGTTCCAATTTCAATATGCTTGGGGCAGGATCTTACAATGTGATTTTGTTCTAAATTTGGGCACTCTTCATTTAATATTAAATTCTCAGGTAGAGGCAGAAATGAGTTATTTTCTCTGAGACTTCTGTTTCAGTAATTAAGAACAAATAAATATTGGAATCCTGTTAAATGTTCCATGTATTTGAAATGAAAGTATGCTCTGGTTTTATTTAGAACCATACATAACCACAATGAACAATGAAGTTTTTTGCCCTAGGGTAAGGAGGGGAGGAATCCCACCTTGGGGGATTTTTGCTTGTGAAGTGGGTTTGACATTGTCTTGGCAATGCACTCGTCCAAACACCAGTGCCTAGCCTGTCAGCTTCCCCATACCATATCCCTTTGCTAAGAATAATTTGTCTTTTAGAAATGAAAAAATGAAGATAAAGCAGATTTACCTGAGTAACCGTTATGTTTAAAAAATCAACATTCGCTGCCTGGCAGAGTGGTCTCCACTGTAATGACCGGTACGCCTGCCTAGGAAGCTGATGCCCTGAGTTCAAAACCCCATTGCCCACCAAAAAAAGAAAAATCTATATTGCTTTATTAAATTTGGAAATTTTTTTCTCATTTAAAAAGTGAACAATGACCATACAAATTATTTAGCTTTTTTTTTTTTTTTGCTGTACCTTGTGCTTGTTGGGCAGGTGCTCTAAACCAAACTTGAGCTTACATGTTCCATGCCCCTTTTTCACATTGATTATGTTGAGAAAGGGTCCTCAGTTCGTGCTGCCACCAACACTCAGCCATTGGTTGAGGTGGGGGCTATGACTTTTGGCCAGGGCTGACTCTTTGAACTGTGATTACCCATTTCCATTTTCTTCTGAAGTAGCTAGAATTATAAGCTTGGGCTACTGAAGCAGGACTTTTTGTTGTTGTTCCTTTTTTAGTGTACAGTGCAGGGCCTGGGGGAATGTAGCTCAAGTGGGTAGAACTCTTACCTATATGCATGAGGGGTCTTGAAGTTCAATCCCTAGCACCACCACACAAAAACAAAAACAAACAAGAAAAAAACCCAGTGGTTACTGTAGAAAAGTAGTTTATAGTAAAAAAAAAAGTTTTTTAAAAAAAAAATTTAATCTTAAAAACAAGGGCATGGTGGCAGAAGCCTATAATCCCAGTATTGAGGGGTCTGAGGCAAGAGAATTGGAGAGTTCAGAGCCCAGTCAGCTCTGCCATTGGGTCTTTAAAGAAAATAATCTTCCCTACCATTTCTTTCACGTGAAAATTAGTGAAGCCTTATGTATATCTAGTAAACATATTTTTCCAATGATAAAAAAAAATGAACACAATATAATGCTGGCTCCATGAGCTTTTGTTCAATGGGTGGAAAATGGCACTGCAGAGTTCTGCTATGCAAGCTAACTGACATTTCAGCTGCACGAGTATGTTAAAGTTCACACTTCTTCTTGTTGATGCGGCCGAAGTCATATTAAAGTAGGAATTTCATACCATGGACATAAAGTTTCAATTTGACAAATGTTTCTTGAACTCCAGCTACGTACCAAGGTCTGGACATGTAGCAGTGAGCTAGATGGATGGGGTCCTGCCATCGTGAGCTTGCAACTTCAGGGCAGAGGCAGACCACAGTCTATACCTCACCAATAAAAAGTGTGATGTCAGCCTGAAAATGTGTTTCTGTTGAAAGAGAAGGTGGGAGAGAGTAATTAGAAACCTCTGCCTAATGAGGTGAGGTGGGGGAAGGAAAAGAAATGGTTTTTTCCTTGCAGAAGTTGATATCTGAAGTCAGGGATGTGAGGTAAAAAGTTCCAGGGAGAAGAGAGCATGTACAGAAGGCAGGAAGAACTCAAAAAAGCCAGTGGAACTGGATCAAGCAAAGAGTTCAGAAAGGGTCAGTAACAGAACAGTAGAGGTTGTCAGAAGACTGGATCAGATGAGACCACAATCAAAGTAAGCCTCACTCATTAAAAAATGTGAATTCTCACCAGGTTAAAAACTTAGGAAAATCTAAATGTCATTCAACTGGGCTACTGCAATAAATTACAGTAATAATGATGTGAAGGAATAGTAATACAGCTATAAAAATGGAGAAATTTAAAATACTCAAAAAACTAAAGAAAACTTAAATATTGAAAAAATAAAAAAGGGAAAAAAACCTAACCCAGGGATAAGTGATTTGTCTCTTATGGAATTTGAATGGATTCTTTGGTATAGTAAGTTTCTTATAACAGTAATATCTCATTTTAATAGTTTGAGGGTATTTTTATTGTATCTCTGCTCACATATTTTGTGAAGTATCACAATTGTTATGAACATGGCTGCTGGCTGTCCCATCGTGGGCCTGGGTTCATACTCTGGCACTGCCATTCATCCACTTAATAATTAAGAAAATACCTCAATTCTGTAAGACAGTAATAATGTTTAACTGCTAGTGTTGTGGTGTCTTTGATGTCAAACATATGAGGCACCAAAGGAGCATTCCCCAAAAAGCTGCTTAGTATCACTTTTTATGAACGGATCTTCTAATTAAGGCCATGTTTCAAAGCAGAAGTTCACAGAGAGGGAGCTGGGGCTCAGCTCAGGTGCCTGCTGAGCAAGCGTGAAGCCTTGAGTTCAAATTCCACAGAGAGAGTACTGAAGGAAGGGATGCCTAAATGTTACTGTAGTTGCCTCTGACAGGTGGAGTTTTGCCTGATATTTTTTGTTTGGTTTTACTTTGGGGGTGGGTTGGTACTGGGATCCAACCCACGGCCTGCATGTGCTCTGCCACTGGGCTACACTCCCAGCATGGCTGGTATTTGTTTCTTGCTTTATTTATTTGTTTGTTTATTTATTTTGTGGTGCTAGGAATTGAATTCAGGCCTCCGACATGCTAGGCAAGTGCTCCATCACTAAGCTACATGCATAGCCCTTGTTTTACATTTTTTATAAAATTTGAATCATGAGTGTGTGTTTAAAATTAGTAATGTCTATGCTGGGTGTGGTGGCTCACAACTGTAATCCCGGCTATAAGGGAGGCAGGGATTGGAAGGATTGTGGTTCATTGCCAGCCCTGGGCAAAAAGTTAGCAAGATCCCATCTCAACAAAGAAGTCAGGTGTGGTGGCATGTATCTGTGGTTCCATCTCAGAGGGAGGTGTAGGTAGGAGGGTCATGGTCTGGGGACAGCCCAGAAAAAAAACTGTGAGAACCTATCTAAAAAATAACCCAAAGCAGAATGGGCCAGAGGGTGGCTCAAGTGGCAAATGCTTGCCTCACACGCTCAAGGCCCTATGTTCAAACTCCAGTAGCACCAAAAAAAAAAAAAAAAGTAATGTCTGCCATTTAAATACACTGTCTGTGCTGAAATTCAATTCTAGTAGCATCTTTTATTTTAGTATTAGAAAGTCTACAAACCCTGATTCAAGTGATACTACTGGCTGATTTGACACGTTTCTCTGGAATTATTTTTGCTTTCTTTGTATTTTCATTAGTGTACCATTTAAAAGGCTTTGTGGCCAGAGCTACTAAATTGTGATTGGGAAAGAAATGGGCCTGTGTTTTAGACCATCTGTGGGAGTGGCATTGTGTGGAGCTTGATGAGGTCATGGCAGATGGTGAGGTCAAAAGATTGAATTTGTGAGCTTGACAGAATGTGCTCATGAAGCTGGAGGAAGAAATCCACCTATGTTTCTAACTAACAGAAGACCTGGCGGCAGGGAGTATGGATGAACCACACATCAGTGCACACGACTGGCCTGTCTCTGAGAGCCACCAGCACTGCCAAAGATGGCAGCATCTTGAAATAGCTGGTGCCACTTTTACTTTCTAGACACTTTGGAAAGTTTAAGTCATATATTGTAAATAATTATTAGGTTAAAGACAATATTAAAGAAAGAAGCTTTAAAAATACTTCGAAGTCTGTTTTGTAGGTTATAAATTATTGCTCAAAGTCAAGTGTTATTTCTTAATTTTTAATTGAATGAAGGAGGTCTGTATCACAGTCACATCTCTTCTTGTAATGTTCATCTAAATCTAATTTTATTACATTTGAGCTTTTGGGAGGGAGGAAGCAAGGGAAGGAAGAAGAAACCTCTGTCTGAGTTTGTTTTGGCCTGTGTCATCTGTGTGCTGCTCCAGGACATGTGCTAGTGCCTTGCACAGAGAGGGTAGGGGATGGCAGGGTCGGGAGGGTGCTCAGTATTTGCTGAGTGAGACAATGATTGCAGAGTGTATTGCCTACTCTTGGTAATTTTCAATGGGTTTTCTTAACCACATTTAAACATTTTTCCTTTTTCCTGTTGTATAAATGGATTTATATTATAATAGTTTTCATTTCTGCCGTGTGCAGATTATATGTTGTTTATTTTGGAAGAAGCTTTAATTTATCCTGAGAAATCAGTGAACTGTTTTTTCCCTGACATTGCTTGCTTACCTTGTGCTAGTCAGTGTCTTGTAATTTTACACCTATTGACCCATTTAATTAAATAGATACTATTACTGTTTTGCAGATAAAGAAATTGAGGCCCAGAGACATTCAGGTAAATTTACTCAGTAAATCCATGCAGTTTGTCTCTCTGCAGAATTTTCCATTTAGGCAACAGTTAGAGATTCCAACTTGTCCTGAGCTCTGGCGAGGGGATGCAAAGGAGTACCACCCAAAGGTGCACTTCCTTGCGTAAACTCGCTAATGCAGCTAAGCAGTATTTTTGTTGGTATAGACTCTGAACTACTGTGTGCTGAAATGGTCGTGTTACATTCATTTGGTTTTATTTGCTTGACTAGCACAGTGCCACTAAGTAGCCCGGGCTTTAGGAAACAGCCCGATGCTGAATGCTGAACACAGAAATGAAGCAGGCCACAGAGATAAGCAGCTGTAGCCATGTTCTGGGCACAAAAAGTAGGGAGAAGGGGGAAAAGGGACATCTCACGGTTCACTCCAACAATGAATGCTTGTATTTCATTGGCCAGAATGCTGTCATGTCCTATGGTCAGCCCTCTGGGAGGAATTTAGGGGGATGTATAGTGTTTTAGTTGGACACATCAGCACCTTCAATGGGTATAGAATAGTTTCTGCCTTGGGAAGATTCATAGAAGGTTTCTAAACTTAACATGTTTAAACCATACTTTGGATGGAAAAGACTTCATTAATGGTTTTTTGTCACACCTATATTTCAGAAGGTTATAAAGTAATCCTAAAATTTTTTGAATTGAACCTTCTGTGGTTAGGAGTATTCAGAGTGGTTATGTATAAACTGGAGGACATTTGGCACACTGATTTGGCAGAGATGGCGAAATTCACCTTTACCAAATTCACTCCTAAAGTTACTGCACACTCAGCGTTCCAGTTTTTCAGTGATGACACTGCCGCTCTAAGAGGTTAACTTATGTGGTCAGGATCACACAGCTGCTCTGTGGTGGAACTGAGCTCGAGCCAGAGTCCATGCTCTCTGCAGTCTGCTGCACCGCTGCTTTATCTGTGCGATTCCTCCATGAGCAGGACACTGAAAACCAGCTCGAATATTGATTTTTTTCTGTTTCATTAGTTTCTGCTTGTTCTTTTCATCCTCCTTCGTTGAGCTTCCACTCTTCCTTTAAATCTTTTGAATTACTGGCTTAATGAATAAAAGAAATGTAAATATACCTTTGAGTACTAGTTCAGGTAGACTTTGCAATTCTTATTATTTTCATCATTACTTTAGTTCTAAATATTTTTTGTTATGTTCATTATCACTCACTTATAAATATTTTACATTTGTGAGATGTTTTAAGTAATAATATAATTTTATTTTTTACTTACATGATTTTTTACTTTTTAAAAAAAATTGTTGGGGGAGGGAGGTAAAGGAGAATGATAGACGGGGTGAATTCAACTATGATATATAGTGAGAACTTGTGTAAAATATCACAGTGTACCCCCACCAAGCACAACAATACAAAAACAAGGGGAAATGTTGATTACCACTTTGCAGTGTGGCAGATGCTACCATCTGTATGTAATCTCTTCCAAATTTGTTGCTAATTTCTTGGTGATAACATATTTGGACAAATTTTATAAATTTGTACTTAAAGAAAATTTTCACATCTAGTAGGTACACATTTCTACATAGATCCATTAGGTCGAATGGCTACTTGGGATGGATCTCAGGGGTAGAGTGTTTGCCTAGCATGCTCAAGGCCTTTGCACCACAAAAAAAAATTGATTAATTACTCTTCAAAATATAATCCGTCAAATTCCTAGTTTGAGTATGTTAGGTAGGTTGTCGAATGGGGCAAACTTGTGCCTGTTGTTTACCTCATTTAATTTGAATAATTGATAAGTGTCAAACAGATCTGTTATAGGAGCCTGATTTTGAGATGAAGTCTCAGGAGACATTGTGCAGATACAGTAGGAAAGCAGAAGTGTAGTTGCAGTTCAGATTTTACTTGGAGTTTTTTATTATTATTACTACTATTATTATTATTTTGCAGTACTGGGGCTTGAACTCAGGGCCTTCACCTTGAGCCAGTCCACCAGACCTTTTTTTGTAATGGATTTTTTCGAGATGGGGGTCACAAACTCTCGAACTTCAATCCTCCTGATCTCTGCCTCCTGAGTAGATAGGATTACAGGCATGAGCCACTGGTGCCTGGCTTATTTTTAATTTATCATTGAAAAATTACAGATTCTGCTATATTGAAAACTAAAAACACCTTTTTCTTTTACTTCCATTTAAATTGTAGATTCAGATTCGCTTCTATAAAGCAGACATTTGGAGCCCCCATTTCATTTAGCTTCCATTATTTATCTTTTCAAAGTTCAGATTTACTATATCCACCTTATTAAAGATTTAATTTTGAAATAATTTTAAAATTAAAGTTAAAAAACAGGGCAAAGAGCTCCTGAATACCCTTTAGCTCCAGAGTCACCAATTGTAAATGACTTTCCATTGTGCCTCACTGTCCTCACTTCCTCCATGTATTCAGGTATGTTTTTTCATCAACTGAGAGAGCTCTGGTAATCATATCCCTCCCTTCCTAAGTATTTTAGTGTGCTTTTGTTTTTAAAGAAAAGGACCCTTACTTAGAGAAAACCTCACAATTCCCCAACTAAATCAGGAATATAAGTGGAACCTACTTTTACCCAGTCTGTGGCTCTCGTTATCTCCAGTCACCCCAGTTACAGTCTTCACAGCCATCACATTTTTCTGATGCTTCCTGGGGTCACACACTGACTTAAGTTTTCCTGGCTTTACTCTCCCTAAGTCTGAACTGTTGCTTAGCCTTCCATTGCTTTTTCTGACACTAATGTTTTTGAAGAATTCAGGCCACTATTTTATAAAATGCCCTCCTATTTGGATTGCTCTGCTATTTCCTCCTAATTAGATTCTGCATGTTGAACAGAAATGCCTCTCAATGACAGTCTATCCATCTCAGTGCACTTAAAGCACATATGATGGTTTGCCTCACTATTGGTGATAAGTTGATAACTTAGATCATTTCACTAAAGTAGCGTGTGCCAGGTTTCTTCACTGGAGAACTTGGATTAGTAGGTATTTTATAAGGAGACATTTAAGGGCTGTGTAAATGTCCCATCTTTACCACACCTTCTCTAACTAGTTTTACACGTGTTGACGATTCTCGCCTTATTGGTTCTTATGATGGTTATTCATTGGAGGCTGGCTGACTGCATCATTCATTTAGATTTATTTGCTGGCATTCAACAAAAGCTTTCCCCTTTCTGTTATGCTTCATAATCTTGGATTACTATTTTAGTCATCGGGTTTATAATCTGTTACTATCATTAGATACTTTGGTGCTCAGTTGTCCCAAATGGTGCATTTTTAGGCCCTATGTACTTTCCACATGGCTCCATCTTTACTTTAGGCACCATGAGATGTTCTGGCATTATCGCATGCATTTCCTGCCATGCCCTGGAATCATCCCTTTCTCCAAGCAGCCCAGTGTGTGTTATCTAAAGCAATGTAACATTAGTATAACATTTCAGAGCTCGGGCTCCATCACTTGTGAGCTGACTTAGTCAAATTACTCAACTGCCCTAAACCCCAGTTTTTGTCTGAAAAGTGGGGATTAAAGTGGCACATATTTCATAATGCTGTTGTGAAGATTAATTTGGACAGTTCTCTTAGAGAACAATGCATGACACACAGTGGAAAATAACAAATGTTGCCTACTGTTACTATTACATCACTATTCCCCTTTTTTTCCCTTTAACAGGATACTCTTTTAAGGAATTATTGAAGATGAAGGGTTTTTGCTTTTGATTTTGTGTGTTTTTAGTGGCTTTACCGAGTCTTAAACAGAACGCAGTCTGACATGACGGCAGAGCATGTAAGTATGTGCACCTTTTTAAAGTGAGCCTGCGCTTTTCCTGTCCTCTCTACTCCGGCGATCAAACTCGGCTTACTAGCATGAACTTCTCATTGTTCTGTACATGTGCATTAAACACAGTACTCTCAGCATGACAGCATTCTGTATATCAGTGCCAGTCGCTCTTAACAGCTGCAAATTGCTGTCTCCAGAAACCTTCCAGCTTCCCTTATCTTTGGGGTTCCATAATAAATTTGTTTCATTGCTTGTTGGGGACTTATGTGGCCTTATTAAGTGTGTCACTGCGTTTTTTGGCTTGCTTCTTCTTTTGTATTTGCTCAGATGTTGAGAAGTGTGTTGCCTTCCCTGATAGTGCTTCCTTAAGACTTTACGTGTGTTGATGAAGTTACTTAACTTTTCTCTGCTTGAGCCTGTCATTTGAGTCTGCTTCCCTTCGAATAGTTGTTTCCAGTAGGGGTAAAGACTTACGCCCTAAAATAAATAGGAGGATAGCGTATAGGGAAATAAACAACTTCATTTCTTTGCTGTTCTCAGACTTTTATGTAGCATTGTTTGGGATTTAAACAAAAAGGGAGTTTGCTATAAAGATTCAGGGACATCTTGGGAAGTTCAAGGATGGGAATTCCATAGGCCTTCAGAAAGATCTGGGTCCAGAAACTGGAACCCACCGGGAATGGGAACACTGCTTGGTTTCCAGCTCACCTGTGATTGTTGCCAAGCCATGGTTTCCTTCCCCCCCCCCCCCCCCGTCTCCCCTGCACATTGCCTGTATAGTCCCCAGCCAGCCCCTCAACGTGCTAAGGGACCAGCCTGTTCAGAGAGAGGCTTGAGGAGGGAGAGGCAGCTGCGATTGAGACTCCTTAGGAAGCACTTCTGGCACAGCTTGAGTCTGATGGCCGCTGGTGGTTTACTAAGTGTGACCAGAAGAAGCAAGTGTGATGTTGGATAAAATGTCTGTGGTGGCTCCCACGTGTGTGAGGAGAGATGATCAAGAGCTTCTGTGAGCCAAAGAGTTCTAAGTATTAGTTGCTACACAGCTAAAGAATAGCATTAACAAGCAAACCCTTACTGTATCATGGTAGCTCCCTCCCCTCCTTGTTTGTGGTTTTGCTTTCTATGTTTTCAGTTACCCAAGTCAGCCACAGTCCAAAAATATTAAATGGGAAATTCCAGAAATAAATAGTCCATAAGTTTTCAATTGTACTCTATTCTGAGTAGTGTCTGATGACATCTTGTGCCTTCCCACCTAAGGTGGGACTCATCTCTTTGTCCAGCTTATCCATGCTGGCTATGCTACCTGCCTGTTAATCACTTCATTGCCCTATCAGTTATCAGTTGTACCTTTGCAGTGTCACAGTGCTTTGTGTTCAGGTAACCCTTATGTAATGCCCCCAAAGTGCAAGAGTAGCAACGCTGGCAATTCCGATTTGCCAAAGAGACGCTTTATAATGCTTTTTTTTAAGTGAAAAGGTAACACTGTAATAAGCTACTTCGAAAGAAAGAAGGAAACCATATTCACATAATTTTTATAGTGTATTGTTATAACTGTTCTGTTTTATTATTAGTTATTGTCAACCTCTTATTGTGTCTAACTTACAAATGAAACTTTATCTAGATACACATGTATAGGAAGAAACATAGCACATATAGGGTTTGGGATTAACCATGGGTTTGGGGCATCTTCTGGGGGGTCTTAGAACCGCCAAAAGAGGAGACTGCATGTCTCTGTTTTCTTATTTGGGTTATAGTGTAGAACCTTTTAACATATGTTCAACATGCAATAGTGGCTGTGAAGCAGATACAGATTTTCTTCCTTATCATCTAGGAATAGCCATCCAGATTATTGAGTAGTTAGGATATGGTGCCAAGAAGGAGAGTAAAGGAAACTTCTTGGTATTTGGCCTGTGTGCCTGTGTAATGGCTCGGGGAAGGTGCAGGACCTTGTGGCAAACTCAGGTGGTTTTGACCATGTTAAAGTTGAGGGACCTGAACTATTCACAATAGCCAAGTTATGGAAACAGCCAAGATGTCCCACCACTGACGAATGGATTAAGAAAATGTGGTATCTATACACAATGGAATTTTATGCAGCCATGAAGAAGAACGAAATGTTATCATTCGCTGGTAAATGGATGGAATTGGAGAACATCATTCTGAGTGAGGTTAGCCTGGCTCAAAAAACCAAGAATCGTATGTTCTCCCTCATTTGTGGACATTAGATCAAGGGCAAACACAACAAGGGGATTGGACTATGAGCACATGATAAAAGCGAGAGCACACAAGGGAGGGGTGAGGATAGGTAAGACACCTAAAAAACTAGCTAGCATTTGTTGCCCTTAACGCAGAGAAACTAAAGCAGATACCTTGAAGCAACTGAGGCCAATAGGAAAAGGGGAACAGGTACTAGAGAAAAGGTTAGATCAAAAAGAATTAACCTAGAAGGTAACACCCACACACAGGAAATCAATGTGAGTCAATGCCCTGTATAGCTATCCTTATCTCAACCAGCAAAACCCCTTGTCCCTTCCTATTATTGCTTATACTCTCTCTACAACAAAATTAGAAATAAGGGCAAAATAGTTTCTGCTGGGTATTGAGGGGGGGGAGAGGGAGGGGGTGGAGTGGGTGGTAAGGGAGGGGGTGGGGGCAGGGGGGAGAAATGAACCAAGCCTTGTATGCACATATGAATAATAAAAGAAAAATGAAAAAATAAAAAAATTTAAAAAAAAGTTGAGGGGCCTGAAACATCCAAGTGGAGACGTTGCCAGGCAGGTGGTGAGCTGCTCTGGCGCTCAGGTGAACCCTTAGAGAGGAGGGTGGGCATTTTGGATTCATTGACTATTAAAGGTATTAAAGCAGTGGACTGTAGGAGCTTGCATAGCAAGTGCTGGGTCGAACACCTGAGGACCCAGGCCTGAGCCCTGGGTCTCCAAAGGAAATTCAAAGAATGACAAGAAAGACAGGAAGAAGTCAGAGTTTTCCTGATGATTTAGAAGCCAGGTGAGAAAGGCTCGCAGAGGGAACGACATCCTGAGAAGTGACTCAGCTGTGGAGAATGTTGCTTTCTTATGCCTTTTATGGAGCCATCATTGAACATTCGAATATGTGTTGAGACTTTTACTTTGTTTCTCATTTTGCATCTCTTATGAGAATAATTTTTTGTGAAGTGACTTTTGTCTCATCCTTGTCTTACTCACCTTCTTATGATCAGAAGAAATAAAAACCCTACTGAAGACAGCCTAAGGAACCTGGATAAAGGTGTTTGCCTGTAATTCCAGCTATTTGGAAGGCTGAGGCAGGAGGATTGTGAGTTTGATGCCAGCCTAGCCAGCATAGCAAGACCCCATTTTAACAAACAAAAAACAGTCAAAAAACAAAATCAAACAGCTTAAGGCAAAAAGTGAAATGTCTTGACTCATATACCTGAAAACTCTAGGATACTCTGGCTTTAAATATGCCTGGATTCAGGGATCAAATGATGATTTGGCACTGCCTCTCTGGCCGACTTTTATCTCTCTCCCTGGTGACATAATGGCCTACAGAGTGATAATTAATGTGGATGTCAGAGGAAGATAAGGCACTTCTCTTTTTTAGTAATACATTTCATAGAGAAATGGCCCAAACAATGTATGCACATAGGAATAAATGAGTAAAGAAAAAAAATACACTTCACACTGCATGGTTGACCCTCTGCCTCCCATCTAAGACACGGGGTGGAAGTCAGTGAGAATGTTTGAGTGGCCAGGCCTGGCTCCTGAGCCCATCTCTGCTGCCGTGGCACAGCTGAGCCTCTAAATTTAAGCCTCTGTTCCTGTCGGAATTATGTGTTGGATGTGGGAGGGCTTACCTGAACAAGGAAGTGTGAGGAGCTGGCAGTACGTTCTTCGCATCTGGTACAATGTTAGCAAGCAGTTCCTACTGCCCAGTGGTGGTCTTGCAGACCAAAACTCCAGGTGTCTTCTACTGTAAGCTCATCTGGGATACAAAAAGAATTACAAATATAATTCGAGGGATATAGTTTTTGCCTTGTTGATGAAATTTTTAATGTAATCTGGAATACTCATTATAGGGAAAATAGAAAATAAAGAGGAAAAATGAAAAAATGAGCTAGTCTATAGATTATTAGCAAAATTTTATTTAGGAAAATGTTTAGCATACACACAAATGTGTGTATGTACATATATATCCACGCATATAATATGTAAGCATGTTTATATATATGTAACAAAAACATTTTAAATTAAAATGAGGTCATATTGTTTTATAATCTGCTATTTAACTTAATCTGTGTGGTGAGTGCCTTGATACTTCTGCAGCATCATTTTAAATGGTTGTTTTATGTTATTATACCAGTTTCCTAATATTTGCCATTACTTCTGGTTTTCTTTTTTTGAACTTTTTTTGGTAGGGGGCAGCAGGGTCTCTGCTGTGTAGCCCAGGCTGACCAGATCATGACCTCAAACTTGTGATCTTCCTTTCTCACCCTCCTGAGTGCTGAGGTTATAGGTATGTGCCACCATTCCTAGCTTGCTTTTTTTAAGTTTTCTTTTTCTTGGTGGTACTGAGGTTTGAACTCGGGACCCTGTGCTTGCTATGCAAGCCTCTGCACTTGCACCACACCTCCAGCATATACCTGGCTTTTTTTTTTTTAGTGCTTTTGTTTCTTTTTGTTCATTTGCCAGATTATTTCCATGAGGCAAATATCTTAGGAAATTAGTAAGAGAGAGTGTGTGTGACTTTTAGCATTTTAATCATACTGCTACATTGCATTTCAGAAAGATTACTTTTTTTTTTTTTTGCTGTGTTGGGGATCATACCCAGGACCTGGTGCATGCTAGGCAAGTGCTCTACCATTGAGCTACAACCTGAGCCCAGAACACATAGATTTCTTTACTTATCCATGATGTGTGAGGGCACCATGTCTATTTATTTTCTTTTCAGTCTGTGCCAATTAACCAGCAAGAAGTTGAACATGATTCATTACATTTCTCTGATTACTAGTTAGGTTAAGCTCCATTCCACATATTTGGTAATTGTCTCTGTGAGGGTCATCAGAGTGGTGGAAGCCATTGCCATTTGAATAGTAACCTGCGCTTCAATAATACTTTGCCATTGAAAAGCATCCACACAATGTCTGTATGCAGCTCTCGGGTCAGTATGCACACCTGGATTACCTCATCTTATAGTGACTACCGACATCACCTTATCTGTGAAGGGTAGGGCTTAGAGCACAGGTCATCTCGCTTGAATCCTGGACTCTTTTGGTTGTGCTATGTCAGTTAGAAATGTTAAATATCAACGTAATTATAACTGTATTGTCTAGAAATATAATTTGATACTTAAAGATTGGATTTAGGATTTTTATTCAGCAGATACTTAGTGACTGATTACAGTATGCAGCACCTCACTGGAATAGCCACATACTGTTCCACTGTAAATCTGTATCTCATAGCATCCTGTTATGTACCTTTGCAATAAATTTATGTAAGTTTATTAAAAAGTTTTAAAAAGGAATACTCAGACTTCTCAGTATTTGATTAGGCAAAAAATACAACATGTGGTATGAATTCACTCTTTTCACTTGCTCAGTGAAACACATATCCTCTTTAAATAGGTAGAATAAGGAACAAATAGCTAATATTTTTAAATGTCTTTCCTAGTCAGCTTTTTTGAATTTCAAATTTACTTTTCTTTGAGTCTTTAGGGTACAACTTTCATATGAAAGCAGAATTTTTAAGTTTTCATTAAGTAGGTTTTGGTAGTATTTGTATAAATTTTAGACACAGACACTTATTGATACTCAGTTGATGTCCCTCTGCAGTACAGTTTGTTGGTTATAAGGTGTAGGTGCACAGCTGCCTAGAAAGTTTTTGAATCAGTTTGCTGTTTCACCCACTTGCCTCTCATGAAGAGCAGGTGTTTAAGCATAACAGTTTCCCACTAACTGTGAATTCTCTGCTGTGAACATGTGGTTTCAGTTGAGGGTTCTCGCCGTTATTGTCTCATAAAAACAAAAAGGTACAAATGATACTTGTGAAGTTATGATACATGTTTTAAAAGTCCACCTTGCATTAAGCATGGAGTGAGTTGCTTACAGGCTGTCTTTGCCTTTTTTAACTTAACTTAAAAAGTAGAACACACAAAAGTTCTGCATTTCTCTTTATAGCAGAAAATGTGAGGCATGTTAGTTGTGTAGTTTCTTTGTTGTTGGGACTGGGTTTTGAACTCAGGGTTTGGCGCTTGCAAAAGGCGCTCCACTACTTAACCACCTCACCTGGGGCATATTGCAATGTCATGGAACACTCTTCAGTGGTGCTCAGCAAATTGTGTATTTAGTGTTAGTATTTGTGGGCAATTTTGGAGAGCCGTAATGTGGTTAATTGTTGCAAGTTTTTTTTTTATTTTCATTTATTCACATGTGCATACATTGTTGGGTCATTTCTCCCCCCTGCCCTCCTCCCCCACCCTTCCCCCCCACCCCCCTTTTAAAAAAATCTTAACTCTACTTATAATTGAATATTTCTGAGAAACTAAACAAAGTTATGTATCTGCACCATTATCTAGAATTCAGAAGCTATTTTCTAGATGCCTGTCAGCTGCTGTCATAAAAATTCAATATTAGGTGCCATTTGTATGATATCTATTGCATCAGAATTGCTTATTTATGTTATGAATGAAGTGTAGAAATATTTTTGGTAACATATCTCTTGGTAAAAAGAAATAGCTGTTATAGCATTTGAACTACCCAGTAATGAAATCATCATGAAACTGTAACGTATCACATGAGTGCTTATGAAGACTATGTAATGTAAAACAGTGAGTAGTTTTAAAAATACAAATGCACAGATACAAAGCTTTAGCGCTCTTATGCTTCAAAATCCTTTCAAATCAGCAGACAGCTGATGTGCAGTGTGGCCATGCGAGTTCAGTGTTTGTTGTGTACTTGTAATTTGCTGTGAGGACAGATTTTTTGAGGGGATATTTGTGCACAGTGCCAGAGATCAACCCAGAGTTTATACATGCTAGGCAAGCGCTCCATCATCAAAGCTGTACCCTAGCCTGAGGATATAAATAAATATCCTCAATAAATTGAATTTTCTCAACACACACACACACATACACACACACCACCCAAATGGAAGTAATGTATTAACCAGTTAGATTGGTTGTGGTGACCATTTTACAATGTGGATAAATATCAAAACAGTTAAGTTGCTAAGTGCCTGTGGCTCACATTTGAGCCTCTCTGGAGGCTGAGATCAGGAGGATCATGGTTCAAGGCCAGCATGGGCAAACAGCTTGTAAGACGCCCCCATCTCCAAAATAACCAGAGCAAAATAGACTGGAGGTATGGCTTAAGTGGTAGAGTGCTTGCTTTATAAGCATGAAGCCCTGAGTTCAAACCCCAGTTCTCCCCTTCCCCAACAACAAAAAACCATCATAAGACACTAAGTTAAGCAGGGTATGGTGGAACCTACTTGTAATCCCAGCATTCAGAAGGGTAAGACAGGAGGAGAGAGAGTTCGAAGCCAGCCTGGGCTACATAGCAAGTTTCAGGGTAGCCTGGGCTGTATAGTGAGATTCTGTATCTTAAAACCCAAAACCAAAAACCCTACACAATTATATACCTTAAACGTGTACAATTACATGTCAGTGAGGTTTGCATCTCAGAAAAGTTATTTTTAAAAAATCCTTTCAGTGTGGTAGCACCTTAAAAGAATGCTCAAGGTGCCAGCCTACATACATGTAATAATAACACAGTATAAGGAAAGCAGCTTACTTTGTGTCACATTTTCAAAATGGAGCTTTCCCTCCAGGCTGTAAAAGGAAATTTTTAAAACTTTCTTTGATGATACTACCATAGTCACTTGTGATGCTACGTAGTCCTATGGACATTACACCAAATGAACTAAATTATCTAAAGTCAAATTTACAAGCACACTTGCTATGAATAGCACCTCACAGACAGCAGTAGCTGGTGATGGATGTTAATACGGACAGGGCAATATGTGCCAAGACTGTCCTGTGTACTCTCATGAATTATCTCAATCTTGTGTCAACCTGTATTGGTGAGTACGGGTATTGCCTTCCAGTGCAGAGGACATCACACGACTTGGCCGAGGCCACACACCTTGAAGGCTTAACAAGCCAGAGCATGGACCCAGACAATTAGACGAGGCTGATACGCTTCACTTGTGCATCATGGTGTCAGTGGTGCTTATTTGATTGATCCCTTACATGTCACGGTGTTGAAAAGCATCATGGAAGTGATTAAGACAGCAACAGCGGTGGAATTTTATTTTTTGCGGTATTAGAATTGAACCTAAGCCCTTGCACAAGCTAGGCAAGTGCACACTGAGCCACGCCCCAGCCTTGTAGATTAAATATCACCTATTGGCAACTTCACAGCTGCCATATCACTTGCTTTCAAAAAACTATCTGTAAAATTGGTAGATCTTATTTCTATTCATAAGTAATACTTCATTAGTTTTATCTTAATCTGGAAATTTGTATTTTCCCATTTCTAGCAATACAGCCATGTTTTCTTTTTCATAAAACATTTGTATGGTTGATATAATCAGTTCATTTTTATATATATGATATTTGATGTGGACCTCTGGGGGAAGGTGTAAAATACCGTAATACCTAAGATCCTATTCTTAATTTTTTACACTATTTTATTCAGGTTGGTTTGACTTCCACAAGTGCAGAACTGAGAGGATTTATAGATCAGAATCTCAGTCCAACAAAAGGTAAGGATTACTGAATAAAAATTTTCTGAATTTAGCTTTATTGCACTTGTTTTATAAACTACGCAGCTACAAGAATTCTTTATGTATAATAATTATGTAATATTAAAGTATTGTCACCCATCTGACAACTTGTATGAAAGTGAGTTGCCTCTAAGAGGTGGAGGGTTTTGTGTGTGATTTTTCTCCATCTTTCTTTAGACGTCACAAAGATCCTTGATAATTAATCTAATAATTGAAACTATTCAAGCTACTTTTTTCCCCTGTTTTCTTGTTGAGATTCCTACTTTCAGGTGGTTTAACTTGTAAGAAAGGCAACCGAGAAAAATTACATATATATACTTTTCTATATATTTTCTAATAGATAGATAAATTTCTATAGTGATGAATGGCTTGCTAGGGATACTTACATCAGAAACCTTCCCCGCTATTGTAAGAACACATACAGGAACCAGAAATAACTTTCAATGTATCTTTTAGTATGCAGAGATATATATTAAAATGTTTATGGATAAAATGATACAGTGTCTAGAATTGGTTTCAAAATAATCTAGTAAGTGGCATTATAAAGCAATATTGTCTATAAATGAATTGTTTAGGCTGGCTGATGGCTATATTGAGTTCCATTATTTTTTTCCTCTCTTCCTTTGTGTATGCTGAAAATTCTCCATTCTTAAAGGCAGGAATAAATTGTATGCCATTATAATTCAAACAGCTATGAGAAAATACCAGCTTCCTCCAAAAGTTTATATATGGTGGGAGATGTATGGGGAGAGAAGGCTAGAGAGATCTGTGTTATTTTAGTATAAAATGTCTATCTTAGTAATATAATAGGCCATAAGGAATTATTCTGAGGTTTTAAGTATGTATTTTGAAATTATTCTAGTGATACTTTAAGCCTTGATGCATCCCAATTTTTTCCCATAGAAAACAATAACAAACATTTTTTGTATGCACTAGGGTAGAACAAAAGGTCTTACCTCTCTAAGGTCGGGGGTAAGCTACCTAGGTGCTCCAGCTCCCCCTGAGGACTAAAGGGATCAGTATCCTAGTACACGCATAGCTTATTCACAGCATGGAGTTGGGAATCACTGCTTCAGTCTACTACAACGTTAGGTCAGGGAAAGAACCTGGGTGCCACAAGCTTGGTAGGTATGGAAAATAGTAATATTAGGCAGAGTGATACAGTTGTCTTGAAAATAAGAAGGGAAAGGACAGCGAGTCACAGAGGGGAATGGTGGCAGGAAGCAGGAGTAAATGGAAGCAAGAGAGTGAGGCTTCAGTGAAGAAGTTCATCTTTGATGAAGAATAGGCACCTGAAGTATAGGGAGCTAGTTCCTGAGGTCAGCCCTGCATGTGAACTAATAATGTAAAGAGCAGTTACAGAATAAAGTCTTCTCCTCTTGTCTGATTTTGTAGAACAAGAAGAGAAGGTGAAGACCGAGGATTGTTTAAGAGGCAAGGACTAGAGAGGCCAGCTTGAGAAATAATACAGACTTGTTTTAAAATAATATTTGTTTTAAAAGAAAATTGTTACCTTTTTTTGGAGTGCTGGCTGGAGATAGCAGAAGAGAACTCAGATTAAATGAATCAACAAGAAAAGAAATTACTTTTAATTGATGAACTTCAGTGAATGGTTATTGTGGTCCCAAGATGAGATTTGGAAGTAAGCTCCAGGAAATACTTTTCTAATTGAAATAAATGATGCTCTAGCAGTGTTGCCAGGAAAATTTGCAGATGGGAAAAGAATTCTATCCTTCTAACACAGTCTTTTCTCTTTTGTTTATTCTCTTTCAGTCATTTTTCCTATAGTTATGTTTTAGAAATACAAAACTGGAATAAAACAACCAAGAAAGGTTAAGGGAGATCTGATGCTGAGGGAAGAGAGGAGGACATAGGGAAGAAAGTGGTAGAAGCCAGACATCGGGGGGTGTGGCTACAAGCCAGGAAGCCCAGGGATACCAGCAGCTACCAGAAATTGGAAGGGAGGTAGAGGATCCCCCAGAACCATACGTGCATCATTTCTGACTTTTGGCCTCTAGAACAAGGAGAAAATAAAAGAACCAAAGCTAATAGACAAATAGTTTTCTATTCTGCTGAATTTTTGGTGGTACTTGAGTTTGAACTCAGGGCCTCAGGCTTGCTAGGCAGGTGCTCTACTGCTTGAGCCACACCTCCATTCCTTTTTACTCTGGTTATTTTGGAGATAGGGTCTTGCTTTTCACCCAGACTGCAATCCTATCTTAGGCTTCCTATCATAGCCGGGATGGCAGGTATGAACTACCACACCCAGCTTTTTTCCATTAAGATGGGGGTCTCACCAGCTTTTTTCACTTGAGCTGGCCTGGAACCATGATCTTCCCCATTTCAGTCTTAAAGCCTCCCATGTTAGCTTGGGATGACAAGCATGTACCACTGTGTCCAGCTATTGTTTGAGTTGGGGTCTTGCAACTATTTCTCTGGACCTGTCTCTCCATGTCTCTCTCTCTGCTGGGATTTGGGTTTGAACTAAAGAGTTTGTGCTTACAAAGCAGGAGCTCTACCACTTGAGCCACACACCCCAGTTCATTTTGCTCTGGTTATTTTGGAGATGAGGTCTCACAAACTGTTTGTTGGAGCTGGCCTTGAACCATGATCCTCCTGATCTCAGCCTCTCAAGTAGCTAGGATTATAGGTGTGAGCCACCAGCACCCAGCCGACTCTGCTCTTTTGACTGAAAAAAAAAAAAAAACTTTCCATATCTTGACAGTCTTAAAATACCATTCCTAGAGCTTTATACTATGTTTGTGAATCATAATTTATTAAACATTTCCCACTTTCCCTACCTCCTGGGGATAAAACTCAGAGCCTCTAACTTGCTAGGCAAGCCTTCTACCACTTGAGCCATTCCCCTGGTTCCCCATTTTCTCATTTCTCATTATTAAATATTGAAGTCTTTTTGTTGGTTTTATGTCTATAATTTTATATATATATATTAATATTATGCTATAATATGCAAATGTGATGTTGGATAGTGTAATGAATATCATTTGCCAGCTAGGGTTTTGTTTCATTTAGATTCTGTGAGACAAGAGTCTTAATATGTAACCCAGACTGGCCTTGAACTCCCTATCCTCCTGTCTCTGCCTCTCAAGTTCTGAGATTACAGATGTGGGCCACTTCATCTGGCTAAGTTTTTGTTTCTTATGCTTAATTTTCTGGTAAATGCTCAGAAGTGAAGTTACTGAGTCACTACCCTGCCTCATACAGCCTTCTTATACTTAACTTAAAATAGAATCCCCCTCCTTACCCACAGTATCTGTCAGTATCTTGTCCCTACATATGTCTTCATCATCACTCCTGTGTCAGTATGTTTTAAAGACTCAGGATTTATTTAGATTCTTCTGAAGAGTATTAAAGATTGTCGTTCTTTTGTTTTGGTGGGTACTTAATTTCATTGAACTATGACTCTAAACACTGTCTTCCTTGTGGTGGGTAGCAACTCAAATCTTAATTTAGTTTTAAAACTTTTTAGTTTTACTTAGACTACTCAGAGTCTGTACCAGACATGTATGGTTCAGGAGTCAGTCAAAGATTTGGGTAGATAACACACAGAGTTTGGGGCTCCCCCATCTGGGTCTCTCCCATTTTCAACTCCTAATTTTCATCAGACACATTTGTCCAAAATTCTGTCTTCTAGTTCTTTAAGGCAGGAAGATATATTTTCTGTACATAGAATATAGACTGTTGTCTGCCTTCTGGCTAAGAGCCATTTAAAAAATGGTCAGCTCACCTGGCTGATGAAGTGTGACTCTCTTGTTCCCTCTCTGTTGCTTTTAGATAATTAAAAATATTTTATTGTGAGTTTCTACTTGTTACCTGCAGTAGGATTGGTCTAATAGTAGTTAGATGACCGTAACAGAAGAGAATCGGAAAGTATTCAAAAGGATATTTATCGTGGTATCGTATACTAGTAATAAAGATGGAGGTAACTTACCGAGTCTGACAGTGGAATGAGTTAAGTAAATTACAGCTTTCCACAGTGGAATGTTATGCAGCTATTAAACCATTTAGAAGTACTTATAATAATGTAGGGAATTTTTGAGATGTTAGGCAATGGGAGGGAAAAGTGCAGAAGCTCATCAAGAGTGTGATAATGGCTTTCAGCATTGGGTGTTAGACTTACTGCAGAGAATCTACCTGTCTGTGTAGGTGACTGTGATTGTAAAATGCAAATTCACTGTGAGGTGTTAGCTAAAGTAACTTTAGCCCACTATATTTTCCTCAGTCAGCATATTAAGACCATCATTTACCGTGTCTCTCTGTATGGTTTTTAAATTTTCACAAACATTTCTCATACTTGAAAATATTGGGGACAAATGTAACATAGTAACGATATAAAATGACTACACAGAAAAATGATGGAATAAAATACCTATTTTAGTTTTATGTATTAGAACTAGGTCTTTTTCTTTGTATTCTTTAAATTTTCCTTTGTTTTTAGACAAGGTCTTACTTGTAGCCCAAGCTGGCCTCAAACTCACGATCCTCCTGCCTCAGCCTCCCAAGTGCTGGGATTATAGGTGCATCTACCACACTGGGCTTTTCTTTAAAGTTTTACTAAGCACATAGAACTTTATTGTTAAGGGGAAAAATTAACAAAAAATTTCCCTAGCCAGCTGGCTATTTCTGAGGACAAGGAAAAGTGGAAATTGTTCAGTCCTGAGCAAGACCATTTCAAGATCTATGCACATAATCTCTGTTTACCGTCTACTTATTAAACCATTGTTTAAACCTAAAGGAACTCCAGGTCTCCACTCAGGTTAGAACTCTATGTAAGGTTTTATTGTAAAACAGAGGATGGTGGGAAAGCTCTACTTACATCCACCCAGCCAGTCAAACGATTATCCCGTCTGCTTTGACTCATACCTTCCCTTTTATACCAACTATCCACCAGATCGCCAGATCTCTTTAAATGTTACTCCTGTATGTTATTTCTTTCCCTTCCCTTCTTCCCTGGCTTT